GACGCGGCGACTAACCCTCCACGAAGCCGTTCTCCGACTGACTGCCGACTCTCTAGACGTCTAAAAAGTTGCCAGTTAACTACAGACTCGACTTAAGTCAACTTAAGCTTTAGTATGGACGCTGAGTGCAAGAATTGCAAGAGATAGTGTGTATGTATCAGTAGCAGTGGATAAGATAAGGTTCATTATTGAGTCGGATCGTTAATTAATTTAATTTAATTTATTTAATTCATCCAACGGGAAGGAAACCCAATTATAGGATGAATAAACACATAGAACCACAAAAATCTGTGTATATAGCACTAAAATTCACACAAAACTATAGAAACGCAATTGTCAATGGAAAAAAGGAACAAAAATCATTAAACTCATCCGAAATTCAACACAGTTTTAGATGCGTGAAAATGACAGTTAAGAAACAACTAATTTCAACGAACAACGAACGTCACAATAATACAAGCAAGCGATAAAATCCAAGCAACGAGAAAAATCGACAGGGTTTTTCGTTCTCAAGCGGAGCGTTTTCTATCGCCTACGGACCGTACTATTCCATGGCTTGCTTATCTTTAAGAGATCATTCACTGCTGCCAGCGCACAACTCTCGGGGCGTGATAAAAATATACACAACCTATGTTAAGGCCTTAACAATGGAGGTGCCACATGTGACTTCGGTCCCACCGATATTTACATTGAATCAGTCCGAGAAGGACCGTATCGAAATTCCGGGAAATGTTAAGTCTGTAAAATCGTAATATAAACAGATCTGTAAATAAATACTGATACGCTAAGAAGAATTTGTCAAAATGTTTACGTTAAGAAGAATCTCCACGTACAGAGAAATAATATACACTAAGTACTGGAAAAAAAATTAGAGATTTACAAAATTCTTGAAAATTTTTGTTTCTTTAATTTTGTCCAGTAGTGTAGTTAAATAGATTACTTCTTTTAAGAAAGTAGGTACTTAAATCATGGGAACTTAACCCCGAGAAAAATCTCAATATGTCAACAAAACTGTAATTCGATTGGTAAAAATCGCAATATAATGAGAAAAATCGCACTAGGTATACATATTTTTTTTAGATATACCCAGAATAATGTGTACAACGGAAGACCACGGATTCGTAGACTCAAAATACACGTATGTCCGATATCGCCTCGTTTGGCAGCGAAATGGCCCTCAAAGTTCGTGAAAATTGTTTGAATTTTGTAAATAACTCAAATATGTATTAATAGATTTTGATTATTTTTGGCGTGTGGACTTTTGCTTTCAATCTACAAATTTTGGTGTTATACAGAGTGTTTTTTAAAACTCACAACTCCTACAAAATTGATGTATGGTGATAATATCCGTTCATAACTTTTCCTCTTTCGGGCAATAATGACAACTATTTTTTATTTGATAGGTGATACCATTTGGAAGTTTTTGGGCCTCTAGTAGAATTTTGATTAAATGAGCGGTTTGGGTACAAGAAAAAAATTTTTTAATGTCTATATTACAATACTAAATAAAGTGCTATAGACCAGGGCAGATATGTTTGGAGGTGGATGTGAGAGGGGGCAAGCAATTTTTTTGTGGATTACCTTCAGTACATAATAAAAGTGTAGATCCCTAGATCTGGGCGAGGTCCGGAACGTTTTCAAAATTGCAAAAATATTAAAAATTTTTAAAAAAACACCTATTTTAGTTAGAGTTTTTTACTTATATCTTGGAACCTATGCATTTTAGAACAATGAACAATATACTGTAAGTTAAAAATGTTTAAATTTATTACCGATGTTGGAAAATAGCAATAATTGATGAAAAAAGGCAAAATAATGAAGTTTTTTGGATTTTTTTTTAAATATTTTAATTGCTCCGAGGGCATTCTAATTTTGGTAAAAAAACTGTAGAGTAACACATCAAATTTCATTAAAATCGGTTCCATAGTCTTAGCAAAATTCTTTGAAAAAAAAATTTTCGAATTTTCAAAATGTTGCACAGCCTCAAATAAAGCATCTAGTGTTAGCAATCGCAGAGACAGACGATTGAAAGAAAGCCGTGTCAGCGGAATAGAGTGCAGCGACTAGCCTGTCCTAGCGCCGATGTGGACTACACACTTCTCCGCGCTGGCCTGGTGAATACAGTCGTGATTTAAGACCGCTAGCTAATTAATAATAATTAATTGTTTTTTTTTCTAATTTTGTCCGTTAAATTAATAAGTAAATTATTATTGTCATTAAATAGTGTTGTGAAAATCAAAGTTGAATCATTTGTGTAAACATTGTATGATTGGTAGAAGGTGTGGTTTAAAGACAAAACAAAACTAATAACGCCCCAAATTTCTAACACTAGATACTTTAAAATTTTGTAGAATAATACGTATTTGAGTTATTTACAAAATTAAAAAAATTATCAAGAACTTTGAGGCCATCTACCGGACAAACGAAGCGATTTTGGATATAGGTGAATTAGACTAAATCTGCCTATTTTGAGTCCACGAATCTGTGGGCTTCCTTCGTACACGTTATTCTGGGACACCCTGTACATGAGTATACAAAATTTACCAATTGGTAATGGTAATAAATAGTAATTTTGATCACAGTGACGAGATTCTTGTAGTATGTGCTGGTGTATACAAATATTAGTCATTGTTTATCATTTAACGATATGATTTGTAATAAACATAAATAAGGGTAAAAATTGAATGAATATTACTTGGAATACTATATTTACACAAGTGAGTAAGCGAGAAACAGTTTGGCGTTACTCAAAAAAAAGATAAAGGTACTATCATCCAGATTTGAGGAACTTCAAAGTCAATTAATATTTCTGTTACATTATTGGTACTGTTACCAATAATAAAAATATTAAATACAGGTAGGTAACATATGTAAGTAGTTTTTTTATATTTATTATTTGTGTTGATAGCACGTCAAAGAAAAATATTTACCAAATAGTTGTCAAAACTAACGACTTCTTAAAACGAAGATAAAAAGGTTCGACAGCGGGTTTCATCCTATCTTTAAAACAAAACATTTCGAATTTGTCAATTAAAGGCGACATTGATTACAAACAAAGAAAGCAAACACTTCTAATGAGCAACACTTAAATATTTTATGACACATTTGTCTGTAGGTGATTATCAGGAACGACGCCGTGTTTTGGCAAAAACAAAGACATCAAGGCTATGTCTAAGCAATTGTTTATTTATTTAAGCGTTTTATTGTTTATTAAACATAACCAACCGATTTGCTCCGTCTGTACATTTATTTACTCAAATCAAATTCCGTCCTGTTACATCACTCTTGTCCTGTGAAACAATTGAATGATGGTCGCCGTTTTAAGCCAAACAAATACAGTCACAGCCAACCTAAATTTCAATATACCGAGACATTTATTTTTTAACAATTAAATTAAAAGTTTATTATTCATATATAAGTAGCTCATACATGTACACATAATCGAAACTGTAGAACATATTTTTGAAATAAAAATAAATATAACTTGTTTTTTTATTTTTGACAAAACAGTCCAGGTTAAATCCAGTGACAGTTTCGTTAGATTTATTTTACAGATGTCGAAATAAAATGCGGCGATACCGCTTTAAATATAAACCAGAGATCCTATACAAATATATGTTTCGTAAAAATTCTTCAGCTTCGATGCAATGAAATGACAGGAATGAAAATATCCAGGCTTCGAGCTGATGCTGTTAAAAACATGGCATCTGTGATAGGTGCTGCTGAAATAAAAATAAGTAAAAGACCACTGGAAAAAAATGGATTATGTTTCATTTCGAATGATTCGCAGCTAATTAATTTCTGGAAAACGTTTCCCATAAACCACCTTATATGGAACATATTTTTTATGATTAAACTTAAGAAAATGTATTTTTTTAAAGAAAATAGACACATGAATGTACCGTTCTCTATTTAGAACTGAGAATTTGAAATCCTGCTGTTATACAATCACATAATTCAACCAGCTAGACTCGACTATCGCGACTGCTATTAAAAATGACACAAGTGTGTTATTTTAATAATTAAATCATAGCCATAAAAACTAATTACTAATTCTCATACAAAAAGGGAAGTGGCTTATTTTCTCATAAACATTCTCAGCCTTGGATGAGAGATTTGAATGGAGTATTCCCGCAGACAATTAATTTATGTCAAAACTGGACGATACTTTTTATTATTGTATTATCGTAAGACTTGGAATTTACCATAAAAGATTACAGTGGTAAACGAATAGTATATTAATTTTTAAAAATAGCGACTGACATAACCGACAGCCTTCGTAACGAACCGTTAAATGTTAAATTGGTGGTGTAGACAGAGAGGAATTTTGAGTGGCCTACTTATTTTATTACCAAAATTGTTTACTGTCTGTACAAGGTCAAAAAAAAGATAAATAAATGTAAGATGTACGACAGCAAAATAATGTTTTCATTTAAAACTGTAACTGTAGTTAATATAGTAATTTACATTTTTAATTTGATTGAAACATGTCGCATTTCGGTTGGTTTCATATTGCTAAATATTCGCCCAATTCGCTTCAGTTGATTGATTGTCCCATTAACATTATTTTTCCCTGTAAAATAACTCATAGAAGGAAAGTTGAACCTCCTCCTGTCGAACAAACTTCGTTTCATGTATTTTCATCAAGAAACAAAAGAGCAGTCGCATATTTAGTGCAGCGCCGCTTTGAAGTACGTATTTTTTTGGCCGATTTGCATAAGAATCTTCATTTTATGTAGGTATATCCCAAAATATCTCCTAAATAACGCACTGTACGAAAAAATCAATAGAAACCTTTTTCGTAGAGAATTTTATGCTCTACAACTTTGATCGTTTGCGTGTTTGTAAAATTCTCAATACTTTTCAAGTTATTCACTGCCATCTCAAAACCTCTAGGACCAACTGGACTATAAGTTGCAAAACAAGTCTCCTTTTTTCTCTATAACGAAATTCAGCGACCGAAAAACAGGTTCACATAGAAAACAAATATGAAGTAGTGACGTGTGAAATTTGTTTGGCAGTTCCAAATGAAATTAAACAATACATTTTTTGAAAGTTATAAAAAATCAATGTAAAAGTCAAGACAATATCGAAGACCTAATCACAACAGTGAGTACCGCTATAATTCTTTAGGCTGGCTTTTAATTTTAATTTTATTAATGTAATACGATAACACCAAAACGTCATTAAATGTCACCACCATAAACGTCGATGTTTACGGAGCCATAATGCTGCAAAGTAGAAGAAATATACTTTAATGTCCACACTTACCATTTGTAGATAACAGCTAATGATCTATTACAAATCACAATAGAAACGAAATTGATAACAGCTTTCTAGAGTATAGTCTTATAGTCAAATATATTGATCATTTCTGCCAATGTGGTAGTTTCCGGATTTCTACGAATTTTTTCATACTAATCGGGGTTTGTGCTATAATATACCTAATAGCAAATAGTAAGGTAACAATCATCAGTTATTATGCGTCATTTGAGATAAATCGAATTCAGTCAGACTGCCTGGCAATCAAAATTAATGAAAAATAATGTACTTCATGAATTTAATATAAAAAATCTTCGAATAAGCTTTGGTAAAATTTAAGTACTCGCTATATAAATAAAATAAGCAGAAGAAAGTAAGAAAAATTGATAAAGTGATAAGTACCAACATTGAACTAAATAAAAACAGGTAAATTTCAAGAAGTAGATATGTCTTGACAGTTTAGAATATTCTATCTCAAAAATTACTGAAGTTTATGAAAATTAATTATAGGAAAAAAGAAAATAACAGCAACCACCATTCGTAATACAAATCTAGCTAGACAATAACGATTTAAAATGATTTTTTTTTTTAGTTAACTTCAAAATACAACAATTTATTTTCCAATGTAGATATATTTAGAGTATCGCTAGTTAGCTTTAAGAGAGCACTAAAACAAACAACATTCTGTTAGTACAGATAGTTACATTATTGTTATTTATTATATTTTATTAGTGTATAGTATCTATACTGTAATATGTCTATGGGTGTATGGATATATGTGTGTGTATATGTATATGTTTGATTTGGTTGTTAATCAATTATATTTAGTGAACATTGTTTTAGGCTCTTAGCCAGCCTGTTTATGTTCCGTTTTCCTAAATAAATAAATAAATAAATAAAAAATATTCACTTTGAGGGTTAACTAAATCTAAGTCGCTATACTCAAACAGTAATAAAACAATAATTTTCTCTTTTCCTTAGTAAAAATGTACGTATACCTATTTATCGAATGGTCAGCAAGCTTAAACTGAGAAATAGTTCAAATTCTTCAGCAGTCATGACTATTTTAATTCAAAAAACACACCACTTTATTTATTGTTTTTTTTAGCTTTCTGTCTGCTACTTTGCACCGAATTCCTCACATTTTTACCGACTGTTTATTTACCAAAACTCGAGGTGTGTTTAAAAACTGTGTATGACACTACCGAAAACAAAATATTTACTTTTCGGGCACTTGCTAAGGTAATAGTAAGGGACGTACCCAAGCAGAAACGATAATAAAACGTTAGACATAAAACAAATGTTTATGTTAGAAAAATACCGCGCACAGAGCAAGGATTTTTTAATTACTCTTGAAACGTAAATAATAATTAAGTAAATTACAATACAGGGTGTCCAGTTTATCCTGGGCGTTACATAACCTCAATTTTTCAAATGAAACACCTTTAAGGCCTACTGTGGTGGTAAACATAAACAGATGTTGGGTCGCCCTGGTGTCACTTGATTTTAAAATTAATCAAATCAGAAGTAAACCTGAAAGGGGGTACATATGCGGGGAAAAATGAGTTTTTTTTTATTTATCTCAGAAATTTCGACCTGGAATTTTATGAAACTCTGGAATTTCTTCTGATTTCCACCGAAATCCTTGAAATTTTCCAGATCGCATATAGCAAATTGCACAATAAATATAGTGTGTTTTCACTTAATAATTTACAAACGTCAAAAACCACGAAGAAAAGTGTTTCAGATACAAAATTTTTCCAAACTACGACACATCAATATATTTTTGCTTCACCAAACAGAAATACGTGCTTATTTATAAACATGAAACCGCGGATGGGTGTGATTTTATTATTTTTAGCGACCATTCATTGTTTTAGTGAAATGTCCACCTACGAGATTTCCATATTACACCATTTTTATCTAACTACCACTTCCCACATCAGACACAAGAATCGGAATCATATTGTAGCGACGCAAACCGCATTCCGAGATTTTAGGATTCTATGAAAAAAAATACAGACCGGAGGATATATGCGGTTAGTGATAATTTTTCACGATTGAGACGCCATCTAGCTGCTAAACTAAGCAACTTCAAAACGTGTAAAATCGGTTTCCAAGAACTAATGGAGTAAAATACAAGGAGGCGTTTTTTAAAAGTTTACAATGTGTACTGATTACGACTGTTAAGGATTCCAAATATGTTTTTGATCGTTTGTATTCTATTTTACTTAATTTTATATCAGAGCGAGTAATTTCTTCTTAAAATTAATTCCGCACGATGAAGTTACACCGTGATCCAAATTTACTCCTTACATTACCTACGCACGGCGTGACGTACTCAATCGATCGCGCACAAACCGCCGTTTGCCGATATTTATGTGTCACCGTGACAGGCATTTCCATTTCGGGAAAGATTACCCAGAACGAAGACCTCATTTCCTACGTCGAGATGTCATTACGAACCCACTTCCTTTACGTATATATCCGACACGATGCTGACGGGAGAAGGGCCTGCCCCGCAATGGCAATGGGTGTTAATACCTTCTCGAAGTCACATAGTGCAGGATTTTTTAATGGGAAGCCGCGAATTTGGAATACGCCGCAAGATAAAGCTAATCCGGAGTCTAAGAATCTAAGAATTAAGAGATAAGTGGATTTTTAGAAAGTACCTTGCGAAAATTGGTGTCGGATTCTGCAAAATAGTGTATTATACAGGGTGTCCCGAGATTTGATTGCAATAAGTATTTTTAGGACTAAAAGTTAGAAAAAAAGTATGTGAATATAACCTGGGGGTTGTAGTTCAATTTTGCTCTAACTCTTTTCCACTGTTTGATTTAAAAATGAGAAGTTTTAGACAATTTTATAGTAGAAAGGTGCTCTTGTGTTCTGTTCACTGTCATCAAACCTGTGACTATGGATATATTTTTGCAGAAAACTTCTTTATTTAAGTAACTCCTCTCTATCTCCCATTTAGTCCAAGCATTTTTAAATTTTAAATTGAGTTTCTTGTTCTTTAAACTCGATCCAAAATGGCGAACATGGCTAAAAAAATGTCAAAAAACAGGTTTTCTAAAGTAATTAAAAAAATATAGCCCCGATCGAAAAATTTTAAATGAGAAAGTCGTACGTTATAAAAAGATCTATCGACTGATTGTTTTTAAGTATCGATTGCTTTGTTACTTTTCGAGATATATCGAAAAAACCGTTAAAAATCTTCTCTTTTTTCATCTTCAATAACTCGTTTGCATTTAAGTTCTCATACTTGCTATTTATTGCAAGCATAGCCCGCGGCAATCCAAAAAGGTACATTTTTGAAAAATTTAAAAATATTAATTATTTTTCGATATATCGATTTTTTTAAAAAAAGGCGCTCTCGAAAATCGGCTAGATCTTCTCAGAGGATAGCCTTACAGTAACGATTTTGGGTTGATTTTCTTCGTAAAGAGTTGTATTACCATTAGGGTTTCTGGTCGAGACTTCTCGAAGCGGGAATTTCCGGGAAATCTGGCCTTACTCGAGACGAAAAAAGTGTCGAGAAATCGAGAAATTTAAAAATTACGCGCGTCTTAAGTTCTTGACTGGAGTTCGTTTCGTTCATGCGTTCAATTCGTTTCTCGACAAATAACTGAGCGGTTAAAGTGGTTTCTCGACTAGCTCATGATTTATTTAAGTTTTTAAGGCTTTAGTTTACTTTGATGATCCTTATTTTTTGAATGTACCTAGTTATAAGTCTGTGTAGAAATGTTATTATAAGCTTATAGCTGATGTTGATTCTGAAAATATTTAGTTCCTGTTCCTTTAGTTGATTATTTTATTTTTGTTTTGTTAATTAAAAGATTGTGATTATAAGTGATAAATTAATAGTAAGAACGCTTCTGTATCTTTAAATTAAAGCTTGTTTTTTTAAGATTTCTTCGGTTAAATTCCTTATTTACTATTTATTTCATTAAAAGACTGCATGATTAATGATTAATAATTATTATTGGAAGAAAGCTACGATTCAAAAACATTGAAATAAACAAAGTATATTGAGTGTTTAATAAAAAAACAAGTTAAAGGTTTTTAAGAGGAAACTCAAAGTTTAATTTAGTTTTGTTAGTAGAAGTAGAAAGATAAGTAATTAATAAAAATACTGAATAAATAATAAATGTTAATAATGATTGTTAAGTATGTTTATATTTCGCATTGCAATACCAAAATTATGACTTTTTTAAGTTTTAGAAATTTCTCGAGAATTCGAGAATTCCCTGGAATTCCTAGTCGAGAATTCTTGAGACCCGAGAAAAAAGTAGGCCGAGAAATTAGAAACCCTAATTACCATGCTGTTATAAAACTTTGACGAATTTATTCATTTAAAGGATAAAAAATAACTGAACTGAACACTTTTTTGGGCATGTTTTTTCAAATAACTGTCAATTTTTATTTTATTATAGTAACAAAGTAATCAATACTTACAAACAATCAGTCGATAGATATTTTTAAAGCCTACAACTTTCTGATTTAAATTTTTTCGATCGGTGCTATATTTTTTTTTTAGTTATTTTAGAAAAACCGTTTTTTTCAACTTTGCTATTTTTTACCCATGTTCGCCAATTTGGATAGAGTTGAAAAACAAGAAACTCAATTTAAAATTTAATTTCATATACGGTCATTTTTTTTTTCGGGTATTTCTGTAAGCACTTCTCTATAGTGCTTGGAGTTATTTATAGGTTACATCTCATCTACACTCAAACAACATTCGGTGTCTTGATTCCAGCCATGGGAGATAACAAAACCAACGAAACGGAAAAGGAAAAACTAAGCGACCAACAAAGCGAGTCCGGCAGCTCGCTGAAGCCGCTGCGTTCGGTGAGGCCGTCGGAGAACATCGCCATCTTGGACGAGCCGTCCCCGCCCAGCGAGGAGAAGGTGCAGAGGGTGCAAGAGCAGGTGCTCGAGCCCGCGGATTCGGAGGCCAAAGTGGAGACCGTCTTCGAGAAGCCCCTGGAGTTGGTGCAGGAGACCAAGTCGGAAGTGGACCGGCTAGAGGCGGGTTGGTTTGTCTTTTTTCGTTCTTTTGTCGCTTTTTTACGTTAATCAACTTTTATTTTACTTTCAACGCATAAAGTTAATAAATCTAGATTAATAAATAAAAGAAAAACCGTTTGAATTTAACTCTCTTCAATTTTAAACAGATATCAAAGTAGAGCCACCGTCCGACGACGTCAAAACCTCCGAAGAAGTTCCAAAAGACAAACCCCTGCCCACCAACCTAGAGAAGAAGTGCAGGTTGGGGTCCGCGACCAGCGGCCTAATCCAGAGCGAACGCATCATCAGGAATCAGAGCGACATCTTCTCCTTGAAGGAACAGACCAGCATCGCCTCCGCCATCTTCTCAGTCAACGGATCGCCCTCGAGGAAGGTGTTCAGACGGAGGGAGACGGCCGCGAGCAACGTGTTTCCCTTCGGCCAGGCGGCTAATGGGGAACCGCCCCTGGAGAAGGTGACGGCGGCCAGGGAGAGGGTGAAAGATGCGAAGGAGACTTACAACGAGTTGACCAGGCCTTCCGGCAGCGCCAGGAACCCCCTCACTGGCACGGGGCTCACGTCTAACGACGAGTACAAGTTTAAAGGGTCGAAAAGAAAAGGTAAAGTCTTCTAAATCAAATTGGAAATTATTAATCATTTTTTTTTAGATGGTAATCCTTTGCTAGGTGTAGGATATAGCCCCGAGGCGACGCCGTCCACGCACAGGATTCCACCGGGTGGATTTTCTCACAAGCTTTGGTGACCAAACACGTAAAAAGGCGGCCAGAAATTCTTAGTACGGCAACATAAATTTTGTCCAATTTCCTATGTAGAAGTCAAAAAATACAATGTTCGCATCAATTTGTCACCTTGTTTAACTCCATTTTGAGAACTGTTATTCACAATAATTTAACCGCTTTAAAAAATTGGATCCTACAGAATTTGTAGCAAGCATACGATTTGCAATTTTGGGGAGATTGTAGTCTCCAAATATTGTTTGTGATTTTCACGAACGGCGTTTTTCTTACTACTCCAGTCAGGTTAGACAAAAAAAGGGCTTAACCGGAAAAAAATTAGCTACGCTTGCGGAGACGTCAGGCCTATGGAATGTTGATCACTTGAGTTTAGTTAGGCTTGCCATAGGCGTAGGACCTTAAATTTTGGTAGTAGCGAAAAAATCAAAGCGATCAAAATTGTAGAAAATATAATTCTTTCCAACTTTGTTTAGGTATATTTATGTCGTAAAGTCAATAACAAACGAGATAATTCAATAATTATACTTTGTCACTATTTTCCCCCGTAACTTGAAAAATACCGATCGCACGATAAAATTTGTAATAAAAGAAGTTGTAGAAAATCGCATTTTCAACAACTTAAGTCCTTACAATTTTTGTTGTAAAGTTGAAAATGGCCGAGATATTGAGCAAAAACAATTCCTATGAAACTAACTCCCGCAAGGTCCTACGCTCGCGTCTTTACCGCAAGCGTAGGACCTTAAATATTGGTAGTAGCGAAAAAATCAAAGAGATCAAAATTGTAGAAAATATAATTCTTTCCAACTTTGTTTATGTACATTTATGCCGTATAGTCAATAACATACGAGATAATTCAATAACTATACTTCGTCACTATTTTCCCCCTTAACTTGTAAATATCGATCGCACGATAAAATTTGTAAGAAAAGAAGTTGTAGTATTGAGCAAAAACAATTCCTATGAAACCAACTCCCGCAAGGTCCTACGCTCGCGTCTTTACCGCAAGCGTAGGACCTTAAATATTGGTAGTAGCGAAAAGATCAAAGAGATCAAAATTATAGAAAATATACTTCTTTCCAACTTTGTTTATGTACATTTATGTCGTATAGTCAATAACAAACGAGATAATTCAATAACTATACTTCGTCACTATTTTCCCCCTTAACTTGTAAATATCGATCGCACGATAAAATTTGTAAGAAAAGAAGTTGTAGTATTGAGCAAAAACAATTCCTATGAAACCAACTCCCGCAAGGTCCTACGCTCGCGTCTTTACCGCAAGCGTAGGACCTTAAATATTGGTAGTAGCGAAAAAATCAAAGAGATCAAAATTGTAGAAAATATAATTCTTTCCAACTTTGTTTATGTACATTTATGTCGTAAAGTCAATAACAAACGAGATAATTCAATAATTATACTTTGTCACTATTTTCCCCCTTAACTTGAAAAATATCGATCGCACGATAAAATTTGTAATAAAAGAAGTTGTAGGAAATCGCATTTGCAACAACTTAAGTCCTTACCATTTTTGTTGTAAAGTTGAAAATGGCCGAGATATTGAGCAAAAACGATTTTTCCTTAAATTCAAGATGGCGGCTGACGCAGGGGTGGAATTCAGTCGCGATTCTGAATTTACACTACTATTGACCCCCCCCTAAAGGTTAGAACAATAAAATTGTGGTCCCTAATTTTTTCCCGGTTAGATGACAAACCGACTGGGTTATACAAGTACCTTTAAGAATAGTCAATAGTTTTACTGACTTATGCTGTATTCGTGTTAAATATAGCGATTTAAAAGAATAATGAAATGGTAGACGTATTTTCTGTGCAATGAAAGCGCATATGCGGCAAAAATTTGATACGTGGATTGGTACAGACGACAATAGGAAAATATTCCAAATTAACGTAAGAAATTCAACCAATTGCTTTTTTACCTAGCACGTCCTCCAGAGGCGAGACGGACAGCAGCACCGTCCAGTACTTGCGACGGTACTTCCTGAAGTCCCACGTCTGGCTGCCGCCGTAGACGCGGTATTTCCTCCTGCGACTCCCGGGTTCCGATATCAGCTCGTCGTAGTCAGGCATATCGTCGGCAGAGTATCGAATTAACACCAGTTTTTATTTCCAGAGTTCTTTGCACTGTTCAACTGGATCGTTCATTGGGCGCTGACCTTTTTAAATAGGGATTAATGGTACAAATTGGTCAAGAATGTGTGGTGCCACATATTTTAGACGGGTTGGTCGGGTCAATTTTGTTTTATCTATCTTTAACGGAACCAATTGTTAGATTTTAATGTCTGGAATTCGAGATGCTTTGTTACGGTTACGGAGAAGTAGTTTTAGAAAATTTAACGCGATTTTGGTAGCTGGTTTAATTTCCTGCAACGTTCCATTTGAAAAAATAAACAATTGGCAATCGCCTAAAATCGAGGTAGGCCTAGAGATATGATTACGGGATGTCAGTTTGTAGAATTTGTATATTTTGTTTTTTTTTTAATCAGACAAAAAATGATGGAGCTGTAACTGAAAAATTTATAACAAAATGGTTATAAATTATTATTATTTATATAAATTTACAGTTGCAGTTACAAAAGTCCCTCTTAGGTGGATCACCCTGTATACAGGATGTACCAGAAAACAGTGGCTATACTTTATTAATGAACTGCTTGAATCATTCTCCACATGACGTCATGCGCCAAGAGAACCGATTTTAATTCACGGAAATATCATACAATAGTGCATTTTCGCACTAAGGTAAGTTGACTCAAATTCAATTGTTTGTACCTCAATAACGTATGGTTGCTGTACGATCACTGTTTTCTGATACACCCCGTAGGATTCCGCTTATGCAAACGCACCGGTTCTGGTTACGCGGCACCATACATTCACCCTGTATATACCAAACGCCAAGGTCGTCCAGAAATACACCATTACTCGGATCGCAACCCGATTCGCTGAATACCAATTTTATTGTACACATGGCAATCACTTCCCCACCGACCCTCGAGGAACACTGGAATTTACACTTTCGGTTTCATATTTCGACAAATCGCACAAAAGCGCGTTTTATCTGATCGCGTGTCACTCCCCAGGTACTTTCGCGAGCGGTCGCGTTTTGGAACTAAAAATTCACGGGACAATTCGAAATTAGTTTTCTAGTTCGGGACCAATATCTTAACTGGACGGGACAGACAGCAGAACCCATGCAACTATTATTCCCTAAACGCTTACAGCTCGTTAGGATTTGGACGCACGACGTTTACTGGATGCGTTAGAAAAAAAAAACGTTAATTACTATTCCATAAACAGTTAGCGACTAATTAATTCGACATTGCCGGTCAATTGGACGGCTGCGTGGATTTTTTTTTTTTGCCGCACAGCAGAAATGTTTCCGGTGTTATTGTGCTGTGACGCCTTTATCTCGGACATATGTGCCGTGTAGTGATGAACAATATTTTTTTGGACATTGTCCAGGCCTGTAAATGCGATTTGTGTTTCGATTTATTTCAGGATCTCGCTTGTTACCCGTTTGTTTGCAATAGACGTAATCCCGGTGTAGTAAATCGGATTCATTCATATCTTAATATAGAGCGGTTTCCCAAAAATTATTCCTTACGACAACAATTCTTCTCTACACATTGATCATGATAAGGATGCTGCGACTGCTCTCGTTACACACCCTACACGGTTATATTCAAAACATCTATTTCATGTGCAATGTTGCGGGTACTGCGGCTCGGGTTTTCTTTGACAATTTGTAAAATGTCCTCTCTATTTTAGCTTTGTTGCGGTCTTTCTTGTCCGCTACGTTCATACGTTGGATTCACTCTTTGAACAGCGTATTGCACTGTTCTGGGATACAGTCGTTGCTTTTGGAAGTAACAATTAGCATACAAACGACAAGTTATATTTAATTCATATTCGCATTCTTGATTTCAACAAGATACTTTGAAATAAAACAACAAATAAAAATGAATTAATGAAAACTGATTTACTTAATATTCATAAGTTGTAAGGCTCTAAAAATCTGCAGACCGAGAAAAAATCATATATATTTAAGTAAATGTGAGTTTTCTTTATTTTCAGCTCTATATCTCGAAAACAAAGCTATGTTTACGTAGATTTTTTTCCTTATTTAGGGGTTCTCTATCGCCTAAATTGGCGTGTGCGATTCTGGACACCCTGTAGAGCGCTGCGCAGGTTGTCTCAAAAATGAACAGTCTATATTCCGGAAGCACATTTATAGGAACTTTTTAATAAATTTAACATAGGCGGTTTACCATAGTTTTTCCGATTTTAGTAACACCCTGTATATAATTTTTGTCTCGTTTGTTTTTATAGAACACGGGATACTTCTTATGTTTGTTTATATTCTTTAAACATAATTAAATAATATTCTTATATGTACTTTGAGAATATTTACAAAATCGGAAAAAAAATAGGTACCCTGTATAAAATGCGGTACTTTTTAAATCTTAATAATTCTCAGTTGATGATATATCCATTTGATTGAAAAAAAAAATTGTAAATTTTCCAAAAAATATCGTCACGATAAAAAAATGTGAGATACCAGTCCATATAAAAAACAATACATTTATTTCAATATTGGTCACAGCTATTTCTGAAGCTGCATGAATTATTAATAAATCAATAAACAATATTGTCAAGTAGGTACCTAATATGGGAGCAATATCATTAACATTTACCAATACCGATGTCGGTTAAAAAATCTATGATTTACACCTAGAGAACAAGGATAAAGTCCAGTTTATAACAAATAGAAAATGATTACCTTCCTGTTATAAATATTTAAATAAGCTATTTTAATGTGCAAGTATTTAAGTAATTATGACCTGCTCTCTGTAGGCAGGTTAGGATTTCTAAATGCCAAAAGGTCATTGAGTGAACTTGCAAAATAAACAAAAAAAAACCGCCTGGCCTACATTAGGTTTATTTAAAAATTGATGGGATAACTGACAGGAACGATGTACCAATCCAGACCTATATTTAACAATGATAAAAGCAGTGCAATAAAATGAACAATCAGTGATGTAATTACAAAAAAATCCTACCTTGGACATATTTTCCAGATTTCGGTGTGGATGTCATATTCAATATCTTCCATTTGCATAACTACAATTCAAGACACACTATGGGAGATTTTTAGTTACTGTGGAAACACCCCGGCGAATATAGGACACATTTATACGTTTATTCATTTTTGGTTTTTATTGAATTTTGAGAAAAATATCGAAAAAAGGAGAATCTTTTGCACTGCCGGAGCCGCGCCGCCATCTACAATAATATTTTAGACAAAAACACGGATCGATAACTCAGTCGGTAACAATTTAACATCGTTGCCAGAGTTAACTGTGGACATTTAATAATTAAAATGATTGCTTTATAATTAAATATGTAGTTACACCAAATTCTGCCTAATGTTAGAAAATTTATATATTTTACTTTACCTATATATAATCTCATTACTTCTTAGTTCCAGTGAACATTTAAAAAACTAGTCACTCCAACTGGCAGCACTGGAAAGTTATTTACAAATTGTAAAACACTGGTTGTCAAATTTGATGTAAATGAGATGATAACACCATATGAAAACTTAATTTAAAAGTAATTAGGAAAAATACACTTCTAATTTGTAATTGATGTTAGAGAAGCCGTAAATCTAAACCCAACAATGCAAAGGTAACTATTAAATTCAATAATATAGATTATCTTATCACAAGGCAATTATAAAGGTGAGGTTTTATCTTTTATCAGCTGACCAATTAAGCTTGGAAAATGGGTAACTCAGGTCTAAAACAGCACATAGAAACTGCTCAAAAAACAGGTGTTTTAAAAGTATCCCAGGGGAAACTGAATGAATTCCCTCCTGGTTTTAAACAGCTTGAAAGTTCGTTGAGAACTCTAGACATATCCGACAACAAATTTGTGATTTTGCCTAATGAAATAAGTAGATTTATGCAACTAAGGCACCTTAACTTAAGCAAAAACAAATTAGCGAAGATTCCAGATTGCATTGGAGCCCTGACAAAGCTAGAAACATTCAACGGAAGCCACAATAACCTCACCAGTTTACCTAGAACCTTTTCCAACCTCATCCACTTGAAACAAGTAAACCTGAGTGATAACCACATAAAAGACTTCCCGTTGATGTTCTCTGGACTCAAACACCTCGACGTATTGGATTTGTCGAGAAATGAAATCGTATCGATCCCAACCGAAGTTTCTGGCCTAAATGTAACTGAATTAAACCTCAACCAGAACCAAATATCTCAAATTTCTAGTCAAATCGCTGACTGTCCAAGACTCAAGACTTTGCGGTTAGAAGAGAACTGTCTACAACTGTCGTCGATTCCTACAAGGATCCTGCTGGAATCGAAAGTCTCCAATTTAGCCGTCGACGGTAATTTATTCGAGGCGAAACAGCTGTCTGATCTGCCGGGCTATGAGGCTTATATGGAACGGTTTACCGCTGTGAAGAAAAAGTTGTTCTAAAATGTTCTCGTGGGGAGAAATATCAAAGCACAGAAATCGTATGAATGTTTGTTTTGAGTATTTTAAACTTAATCATTCGATGGGAAGACTGTAGACAAGGCTGAGTAGTGATATCTTAAATATTTGGATGATTTTTATGAAGAGAAGATTAAAACGTAGTTGGAATTTGTATATTTTTAAAATTTTGTGTCGATATTCAGTGTTCAAGTTTGATTCGTCACGCAATATCTATAGTTTTCCCACCAAAATGGTCTTATTCTAGTCTAGAAATCGACAAATAATTTATATTCATTCTGTTTCATATTTCCTCCTGTGTTAATGAAAACATCTGATAAACAATTAAAATATGTAAATATAAAAAAATGTCTTTATGCCTTCGTTAACCAAATTTCTGTTAATTAAAGATAATAATTTATTTAATTTTTTTCAATATCGTGTGCTGAATCTGCGTAATATTTTATTATTATCGTTTCCGTTATCTTCGGCACACTTTTCGGTGCATTTTCTTTACTCCTACAATTCTACCGGGAATGTAAATTAAAAAATTACCTATGGTGCTTCGCTGTCAATTTTCTATCAACTAATCAATATCATACCCTAACGTAGAATATTACGCCTATTGTTATCGTTTTGAGGTAGTGACTTTCCTCCGTTCGTGATGTTTTTAAATGAACTTTCCATACAATCAGGTCGAAATACTGAACAATGTACCCAGTCCCTCCCCCTTTTACAGAAATATAATGTATTTAAACTTTTAAAACTGTATTTTAACGACAAATAGGAATTTCCTTGTTGTGCAAGAAAGATATGCATAATTCGATTCGTATTTGTCGTTAACTGGTCTATTCTAAGCTTAGCTTCGGAAATATATAATAATTAAAGTTCTGCATGAGTGTTGTATAGACAATCAATGTTTTAGAGAAACATGTCTCGATGTTGATGTTTGTAGTTTAATTTTTCACTTTTCGTTCGAATTGTCGATATTTTTGGGGTCCAAGCAATATTATAGATACGAAATGGAAGTCTGTTTTTAAGTAGCCGAACACTAAAATATTCAGCTTTCTTTAAATATACAAGTTTTATTTTATTAAATACATACTTGACGTTATCTAGGTAGGTATATACCTTTAGTCTAGGATTATATGTACATTATACATGTAATTAGGTTCTGTTCGTATTAGTATAATTTATACAAAATAAATATCCTGTATTTTCATGCCTAAAGTGTACTTCTATCATATTTATCAATTATGTATTTTGTCTATTTGAATTTTTATAGATAATTTGCACTTTTGCTCTATTTTTATTATATAATATATTCAGTACCATTTTTCTATCTGTACAAAATATCCTGCAATAAAGTTTTATTCGTAAATTTCTTTGTATCCTAAACTCCAAACAAACGTAGTTCAGTGGGTTGCATAGATCAGATTCAAAATAAAGGTGCGTCGACTATTTTCAAAACATCTTGCGTAAGTATCGTAATACTTTTGCGATATAAATAACTTTATTTTTAGATACTGTTATGTAGGCACTGATTGATTATAAATAAAAAAAGGAAAATGTTTAATGCATAAACTAATTGTTCGTAATTTATGCATTCCAACTTAAATATTTTTTAACTTTAATAATATTTATATTTCCGTTTCACATCAATGGAAGTTTGTACCGGCAAATTACCACATACGACATGATGTAGGTAAATCACGTATCAGTTCGTAAAGAGGTCAATGAAGCGGACTGGCCTCTAATTTGAATAATTTTAGTCTCTAACCACGACTCTTTTTATTTATGTACGATGTTTTTTTGAAATATATAAACAGTTAAAAAAAGGTGTGTACAAATTTATGAAAGTATTTATTTGTTTTCACTGTTGATTGTTGGAAACTACTTGTCCTTACCCCTCTCTCTGTCTTTGTCCAGCGTTTGTCGAAACGTGCCCATAGAAGGAGAAAGAAACACAATACGATCTTCGTCGTGAAGCAAACACCATTCGATTTGTATTGTTTATGGACGACGAAGGTAGTGTGGTGTGTTGCGCAAAAACCTAGTTCCCGAAAGTTTCCGCTTTTTTTGCGTTCAAAGACTTGTTTCCGGGTATTAGTAAGGTAAGTGAGTAATAAATTCTCGTAACTCATATCTTTACGACTGTAATTTTGTTTGTTCTGTGTGATATGGCGGTGTTTTGTCTGGTTCGTTTCTCGGCCAGCTGGATGTTTTTGTTTACTTCTTGCTTGCCTCCAGCGGCTTTTCTGTCGTTCTAGAAACATCGGTAATCGATGTGATTTGAAATTGTGTGATTGTTTTGAGTAATGTCATGTGAGATATAAAACTCGTGGGCGTTTTTTCACGTGGAAACTGTAAGAAAATAGCAATATTTTAAGTCGTATTTAGGTATGTCACGTAGACCGTTGAGTGACGTGTAATCAAAATCACACAGAACCGTTCGTGCATGTACTTGCATTTCGTTTATTTTTCAGGTAATTCTTGTATTGGCGGGGCACAGTTGACCACCCAGTCAAAGAAACTGCCAGTTTTTTTTGTGTTAAGAAGCAAAAATGGCTTCAGAGAGGGACGGAGTTGATGTCGAAATCGACGACAGTGACATAGACATCGACAAGATTGTAGAAGGAGAATTGGCAGCCAAAGAGAATGCTACAGTGAACGAGAACCTGATCAAACGCAAGCCCAAGAAGGTCCACAGGCAAAACTCCAAGGAGAATGTTGTCAGCAGTGGCTTCGTGCATGGTCCCAGGTCTTGGAAGAATAGCCGCAGGTCTAGAAATGGTTACGGAAGAGGCTTACCCAAGAAGGGTGGCGCTGGGGGTAAAGGTGTATGGGGCTTGCCCGGCTCAGAACTCCTGGAAACCTATGAAGATGTCGACGATCCCAATTTTGATAACGAGAACCTGAACAACGGTGATATAGAACTAAAGGCTGTCGTGCCTGAGGTGTCCGATGAAGAAATAAAAAAGAAAGTAGAACCCATTATCTTAGAATATTTCGAGAATGGGGACACCCACGAAGCTATTCTTTCCATAGAGGAACAGATACCCGCGAATCGTCGAGATGCTCTCGTAGAGCAACTCATTGAAATAGCGATGGATCACAAACCGTCTCACCGAGAAATGACGTCCGTGCTGATTTCAGACCTATTTCCCCACGTCATCGCTGAAACGGACATTAGCAAGGCATTTGAGAACCTCCTTGCTAATCTGAACGATTTGATTCTGGATATTCCAGACGCACCCACTGTACTTGGCAATTTCATTGCGCGAGCTATCGCTGACGACTGTATCCCCCCGAAGTTCATCCAGAGAACTAGAGAAAAGAGCGATAATAAAGAATTGCAGGAGGCCCTCATTCGAGCCGACACTCTCCTGTCGATGAAGCACGGATTGGTGCGCCTGCACAACGTCTGGGGCGTTGGAGGGGCCCTGAGGCCCGTCAAGGCTCTGACACGGCAAATGTCGTTGCTTCTGCAAGAATTCATATCATCCAGGGACATCGAAGAGGCGAGCCGCTGCCTTAGGCTTCTGGAGGTGCCGCACTTCCACCACGAGCTGGTGTACGAGGCTATAGTCATGGCTCTGGAGGCTAATAGCGCTTCAAAGGAGGAGGCGCTTTGCACTCTCCTCAAGGCCTTCTCCGATGCCATTTTGATTACCCCGGATCAGATGGAGCACGGTTTTCTGCGCGTGTTTGACGATCTCCCCGATATATCCATGGACGTCCCCCTGGCTTACATAATCCTGGACCGTTTTGTGGATCGCTGCCATAACTCGGGCTTCCTCACCGAAAACATCATCAAGAAATTGCCCGCTCGCGGACGCAAGCGTTTCGTGTCCGAGGGCGACCAGCATTTCATTAAAAACTACAAAATTATTCATTGAGGGTGGCTCATAATGAGACATCGTACTACGCCTGTAGTTTTTCATGAGGATATGCATTTGTACGTTTTTCTTTCTATTAGCACTAGGTGCAAATTCAATAAATAAATTGAAGTGTTACTTTTTGTATATGTTCTATGGAAATAAAGATTATTTCAAGTTAACGAGTATCAATGCTTCACCAAAACTTGAAAGGAAAAATTTGTTGCTAATTATACAGGGTGCTCCTTAAGTACATTTCGATAAAACGTGTCAAATTTGCAGATACCTGGAAAGGTGTTTAATGTAGAATAATAAAACTCGGTGTGGTGACACAGCTGCAAAAAAAAAATGGAAATAAATGTAAAAATTCAACTCGATATTTACAATTTTCTATTTTTTGGACAGTTTTTGTCGTATCAGACCTGTTGTCAAATTGGCCATAACCAGAAACACTCCAAAACAATTGAAATAACTTGACATTTGTCAAGTTAGCTGTCAAATTATTGTTGTCTGTAATAAATTTTGCTGAAAATTTAAATAAAAATGGCTGGGGATTGTTTAAATTATATTTATAAGGATTATTTTGTTATTTATGAAAAAAAGCAGCAGATTCTGTACATGTTATTGAAATTACTTTGTCACATTTTCCATAAATAACAAGCAAATTAAAATAATTTATTAGTATAATTTAAACGTTTCCCCAGGCATTTTTATTTAAATTTTCGACAAAAACTATTCAGATTCAACAATAATTTGATGACTAACTTGATGAATGTCAAGTTATTTCAATTGTTTTTGGAGTGTTTCTGGTCATGGCTAATTTGACAGCAAGTCTGATACGAGAAAAACTGTCCAAAAAATAGAAAATTGCAAATATCTCTAAAAGTAGTAATGGCAACCATAACAATTATTATATGGCTTGAAAGGAAATTTCAATCTGCATACTACAAAGAAAATACAGTGTTCCATTTAAGTTAACAAAGTTATAGCCGTTTGAAGTTATCAAAATGTAACGGCAAAAATGAAACACCTAGTATTAAATGTTTTATTTTGTTGCTATATTATAATGTATTGTTGCCTATGGCCTTTACAGGTGCCAAAAATGGGCTTGATATCACGCTCCTGAAAAGCGAGTTAGTAGCATCTCCGTGAACCCTTGTATCTGTCAAATTTTTTCTTTAAAAATTAATATCTCAAAATCTATAACTCCTAGGTATCGGGAATATTTAATAAAGTGACCCTCAAATTTCACGTAGAATCCGAAAATGCAATAATATATAGGGTGTCCCATTTAAAATAACGAAGTTGGTGTCGACTTCCGGTATAACCGGAGGTGCTGGACAGTTCTAGATATATTAGTTGTGCTCGCCCCAGGGACATTGCCATGTTGCCAACTTTTCAAATTTTTCAGAGCAATACTTTCCTAGATATCGATCGACGCAGTTCCCTTGGTTCACCCTGTATATTACCGAGCCTTCATAAATGTTTACAAGCTACGTGAACGCTGACCTTAGGCAACCAACATTGCAATATTAATGATTCGTTTACAATGAATAATGACAAACTGTTACGGTTACGCTCAAGATAATACGATTGCTGAATGGTTGAATAGAATCTTGTGAAAAATTGCATCGATTACAGCCAGTGAAACAGAATGTTCCGTTTCAATGTAGTCACGGCCTTATGGTTTGATTTTATCGAAATTTAATTGCCAACATGAAGGAACTTAAATTACTGGTCACATGGCTTGCAGTTATTTATGAATACTCGCGTTTTAAGTGATGGTGACCGAGGCTAAGCAGCCAAAATTTTTATAAAAAATTCCTAGTGATTTTTCGAAAAATCTAAAGCTTTGGTTATGAAAAAAATTTAAGAATTTCTTCACCATAAAATAATTAAAAGTTATCTTTATTATCAGAATGTAATCAAGGTCCATCCTGTATAATAGGAATAGGCCCGTTTTATAGGTGGAGTTAAAATACCTACTTTTAGTTCGTAAAAACGAAATAATTGTGTAGATAACAATAATTGCTGTAATAATACCACCGGATTGTGTTGGTGAAGGAAAATTCCATCAAAATATTTACGTTACAAGTGGAGTGTGTCCAATTTATGTAAAATAAATATAAACCTTATCAAACAATCGTTCCTGAAATAAAACACGGCATCATAATATAATGCATTTTAATATAGCTCCACATATATCCCACATTACATCATGGACAAGCGAGCTTGTGTCTCTTAACTTATACAAATAAAAATCAAGGAACACATACTTGAGCATCGCACATCTAGTTATATTACCAATAGATATTTATTATCGGTTACGAGGAAACCCCCTATTTTTTTTTAGAGCAAAAATAGGCAATTTTTACCTCAATTGATATAAAAACTAATAATCTCACTTTGTAACTTGGATGAAAATAGCAAAAGTTACGCCACGCATGGCTGAAAATAAGCATAACTTTTCCTACGAGTTGTTTACTTACTAAATTCCTGTCTACGATTTAAAATATGTAATAGTAATACTTTTAAAAGGTCAACAACTAATTTACATGTATTCTGGAAATGTTCAACAAACCGAGTCAGTCTTATCGGTGTTCGTAGAGAAGCAGTTCAATGAATTAAAATTCATTCCCCTCAAATATACAGGGTGGTTATATTTTTTTTGACAATTTCAGAACAGAAGTATTATCAAAAAGTAAAAGTTACTTTGAAAGATATTTACTTTTTCAGATAAACAGGCAAATGTTCCATTGTTGAAATATTAACAAATATTTTTGGCGGGAAAAAAGTGTTTTTAAACGAAACATTGTCTTAGTTTTATTGATGTCGCAGAAAAGAGGGTGGCAGGTACCTTTGTTATAAGAAAATTGATTCTTTTTCGAAATCTCTGCTCATTTTGTGGTTAAAAACGGATCGTCTCGAATTTTTTTTGTTAATTTGATCGTTTCTAAATAAAACATTTATAAAAATCTTCGTAGTTACATTTGGCGTAAATATCATACGGACATCTCAACACTAAAAGAAATTAAGCAACTTGGACCCAAGTTTGGTATGAAATTCAGTAATTGACAGAATAAATGGGTCACCCTGCATAATACAAATTAACGGGCACAGGTTTATTTTATGTATTTTTTATTTGTAACCATAAAATATTTCTTTTATTGTAAATTTTCGTAATTTGTCTGTGGCGAGTTTTTTTTAATAGGCATTTTCTGTCCATTTTTTTTGCAACACCGAAAAATTGAAAATGCGTTTAAAAAAGCATTAAAAAGGTATTCTCAAATTTCAAGGAATGGAACTTGGTGCATTTGTAAATCATTTGAGGAAAAAGTAATTTTTTGTGAGGAAACCGTAACGACATACAGAGTGTACCTGAAAAAGTAAACATTTCTCGAATGGAGTATATACGCCCTTGTTTAATACAGAAAAAAAGTTTATATAAAAGTTGTACAGAATCAAAAAACCTAAAGGACAAAATTAATTTGAAACACACAGGGCGATGAGTAAAAACGGGACACGCCAAATATTAAATTTTTTAAATGGAACACCCTGTATATTTTTAAACATATGGATTTCTGAGAAAATTCTATATATGGCAATACAAACAGTTTAACATTTTAATGCGGGGTTGCCAAGTTATGTAGAAAATTCTTCGAATTTTGGAGAAAACATGACCTCGAAGAAGTTGTATTAACTTTCAACAGCTGACACTTGGGGCAAAAATATTTGACAGAGTTATAGGCAAATGTTAGGCAAAGCCTCCTTTATTAGCTAGTATCGATATTTTATACAGGGCATTTTTTATAATACGACCATTTTTAGAAAGTTAAAACTTGATTTTCTAAACTTTTTCAAATGGAACACCCTGTATTTTATTATTCTATTTTATTCACATATCAGTCCACTTCAACTTTTATTAAGTATGTTCTACACCTAAAGTTGTTAGTTTGTAAGATGTAGCAACATTTCTGGAAAAACCTAATTTTTATAATTTTTGGTTGCTTTTGAAAAAACTGTCACATTGTGTCAACTTGTCAGTTCATAATGTATCATTCCATTTTGAGTTAATTTTATTAGTTATTTATTTGTGGTATTCTGTAAAATAATAAAAATTAAAATTTTTCAGAAATGTTGCTGTATCTTTAACACTAACAATTTTAGATAAAGAACATATTCAATAAAAGTTGATGTAGACCAATTTGTGAATAAAATACAACAATAAAATACAGGGTGTTTCATTTGAAAAATTTTAGAGAATCAAGTTTAAACTTTCTAAAAATGATCATATTATAAAAAATGCCCTGTATAAAATATCGATATTAGCTAATATAGGAATCTTTGCCTAACATTTGCCTATAACTCTGTCTAATTATTTTGTTCCGAGCGTTAGTAGCTGAAAGTTAATACAACTTCTTCGAGGTCATGTTTTTTCCAAAATTCAAAGAATTTTCTACACAACTTGGCAACCCTGCACTAAAATGATAAACTATGTTGCCACACACAGAATTTTCTCGGAAATCCATGTTTAAAAATATACAGGGTGTTCGATTTAAAAAATGTAATATTTGGCGTGCAACGTTTTTACTCATCACCCTGTATGTTTCAAATTAATTTTGTAGTTTAGGTTTCTTGATTCTGTACAACTTCTATATAAACTTCCTCACGCTAATGGACCACCCTGTATAGCGAATTATAATTTTTTTAATAATCCACTTATTCCTAGAGTTTGATAAAGAAAATCAAACCACTCAGTACGTGATACATATTGAGAGAAGTGTGGAAGTTCCTTTAGGCAGTGTAAGAAATTAATTCATAGTTTACAAGAACTTTGGTCGCACTAAATTTTTTTTTAATTAAAAATACTTCTGGAGACCAGAACTCAACGTTAACGCTAATAAAAGTTTGTTCCGAATTAAAACAAATAGGTGTATAAGACTCGCAGAGAGTATATTTTCCATAACTATTAAAATAATAAAACAAATAGGCGTCTCGGCGCCTACACCGCGAAACATTCTTTAAAAAATCTAAAATTCCTAGTATACATCCCAAGAAATCAATTGTATATACAGATTTTATACATAAAAAAAACAGTTTTGCTTCCCTTAATTTTACTTCCGCAAATTAGTTGCTCGAGTCACTTTTTTAACCTAAGTATTTATCTTAAGAATCTAAAGTTTGCTATGTACTTATTATCGTCCGCTGGCGACGACCCACGGTATCAGTGACAATGTTCCGTAACGTCCACTATAACCGATTTCTTCCAGCCGAACAGAAAGTAACCGACCGCCGCGCCCGCCACCACGGCTATGCACAGCCACACGTTGTACGTCATGAAGATCAACATCAGGAAGTACGATAAAATCATCTGGATCATGTGCAGGAACGTCTGCAAGAAGTGTATCTTGCTCAGCATCGTCGGCCTGCAAAGGAGAAATTGTTAGATCGAACTGGAGTCGACGCTTAACTGCGTTCAGTTTTTATATGTCTCTTGTTTGTGAACGACAAGGCAAGGAAACGGGCAAAAGAGTCGTTACAGTTGAGAGAGTAGTAAAATTTAACATAAAAGTACAATAATTTGTATTGTCTACACAAACAGAAATATAACAATATCAGAAGGTCTAGTTGAAGAGAAACCTCAGTTCTTTCGCTCATGATTACAAACTGAATTTTGAAATCAAAGAGTAGATTGGCTGAATTTAAAAATCCACCATAATTTTCTAAATTCAACAAATCAACTGCTTTGATTTCAGGTTATAATAGCACCAGGAACAGTTTTGGATTGCCCTAGGAACAAAACTAATAGCTTTGTTCCCGGAGCAGTCCAAAACAGTCAAACGCATGCGTATTTCAATATAATGCCTACATTCAATATGCAAAATATTGAATTTGGGTCAATTTAATTCGCCAACAGTCGAATGAAAGCAAAAATCAGATTAACATTAAGAAAATAGAGAAGAACAATAATTCATAACCTACAGCTACCCTCGGTATGTTTATATTTCTGTACAACGATCTAAACGGAAAATAATATACAGATAAAAACATTAGTGCTATTAGCAAACAAGCAAAAAAGTAAGTGAAGTAAATATAGTCTTTCCGAAGTCAGTTGAACATGTATAAAAACGCCTAGCAACAAAATTTAATGAGTTTCATAGGAGTCCCTAAAAAAGTCTTCTGCTAAAGGTAAAAAATAATAATTTATATATAATGTATAGAAACTTTCTATTATATGTTCATTTGGCCAACGACATATTTTAATTATTTATGTGCTCAAACATTTTTATTATTTTGATGGTAAATTTTGGTTGTGACATCAAAAAACATTTACATTTTCATTAAAATATGTTACTGCTTGGCATTGCTACACTGCACTGCTAGGCAATTTGTCAACAACTGAAATTTATGGCCGGTCGCCCAATGCGGCCGTGTTTGTGCGCCGTTTGCCCGCGCGCGCATTCTTTGACTGGGCTTATACATTTCTACCACCTGCATGTTTAGTTCGACCAGACCTGTATATGGGTATGGCTAAATAAATATGGGAACAAGTTTTTCAAATATTTCAATGTCGAGTTGCTGAGTAGCGACCAAACAATTGAGATCGGAAAGACTATACCTTCAAATGGATTTATTTGCAAAGAAATTCGTAAATTAGAATTATTTTCTGTAACAGCTTAATAATTTGCTTGCCGTAATATGTTAGTGGCATGCAAAAATGATATCCAAACATCAAACTTACGGCTTTTTGTGAACGACTTCCCCAATTACTCTGCGAGGAGAAAATAAATAAAAAAATGTGTACAATGATATGGATTAATATGAAAACTATATCATTCTTTGCCCAGACAACATTATGTGTTTATTTTATGCCGAAATGTATTAATATCACACATTTAACAAATCGAATGAATAATGTCTGTTGATGGGGCAACGAACACTAAACAATACGTTCGACTGATTATGCAGAACCCGTGAATGTAAATCAGACATAACTTAGTGATACAGACATATAAAAATGAAAACACACGATAAGCTGTTACCCCGGAGTATGAGCAACAACAAAATACTTCCACCATTAATTTAAAACGAAGGCAAGGGACACTTACTGTACGACTTGGTTGTCTTCCGGAGGCGTACCCTTATCTGGAATCGAAACCGCCCTGTATTGGAGTGCGTTGTACGTCCTCCAGAAAAGATACTCCCTAAAAAAAATTGGTTCATTAAGAAAATCTTGTACTACGACGTTTCGATGTAATTTAAAATTGAAATTGAAATTTCGCAAAATTATAATTTAATATAGAAACACACTTTGAAAGAAATTAAAAAAAATTATACGATTCACCTAAAAACCATAAAAATACTGTTCCGTGTGTTTTACCTGAAGTATTTCAGTCCTTCGTATATAGCTGCCATAAAAAATATTCCTATCATAGAACCTATTAGGCCGCCAACTGTAGCGAACTTCCAACCTTCGAAAAGTACCGTTTCGCTGATCGAAAAATGAAACTGAAAACAGAGTACCAGAAATTACACAACGGTACTAAAGAGAGAATTCTATAGTGTCTATATAATAAGGGCAAAAAAATTACCGCCATAGACATTCCATGGCTCATGTCCATATCTCCGGTATCTCCATGGTTGTGGTCCACCCGGCTGCCGCTGCCCATGTCCGTTTTCATGTCACGGTGGTCGTGCATACTGTGCTGAGAGTGATCCATGTGGTCCATTTTTCTGAGAAAGAAGGCAATCGTTAAATGAAATTCACACATTGTTCGCTAACATTCTAACCTATCGTTATGTGCTATAATTACGCAAATAAATAGTAAGCACGCCAAGAGGATGATAATTTTTTGCCTACGTCTGAAACGGATCATCTACCTAAGAACAAAAATAGGAAAGTACATCGCATATGTATTGTACAAGTGTCCAGAATCACAGAAAAGCATTCGGATTAAATATGGAAAACCCTATTTGTTAAGTACTATTGCATACTCTTGTGTCCAACTTTAAAACTAACACCCTGTATATTAAACTGATAAGTGGACATTTTAATTTTAAATTTCACAGAAACCATTAAAATTTTCTTGTTTTATTACCCGTCTCGGAGGAAATACTAATTTGAATGTATTAACACTACATCTTGATCTTGCAATTATTTAATTCATTTCTTGGATTGCTAACTGAGCTGGTTCTAAATAAATTTGTCTCTTAAATAGTCATGAATAATGTAAAAACTCTTACATATTTACAAACAATATTAATGTACCCAACTAATGTTTGTGACGACTATATGGCCAATGTCAAAATAACTTTTTAAATTTTCTGTTTATGACGAACAATAACAAATTACAAAAATATTCTACTTAATCTGGGCACATACATCGTACCCTTTTCAACGTACCGAACTGAGATGGTCGATAACACTATCAATTTTTTAGAAACAATTGAAATACAAAGCAACAACCAAACTAGTAACTTTTATTATCTCGAGTGGCTTCCACTGTCTTTGATAACTTTTTTAACATACAAACACATTCCTTTACTTAATTTTGTACTATTTAATTTATTAAGAAGTCCAGCGAGATAACTTTCAAGATAAGTTATGATTATCATAATTTTATGTAAGAAAATTCAAAGCATTGTACTGTAATTTTAGTATTTTGTCTAATTGGGCAAGTCCATAGTTGAAAAAACACACAAATGTAATAAATTGTATGTCTTATTGAAAACAAGTTTTGCAAATTATTAAGGTACGCTATTAAGGTTACATATATTTAACTTTTAAGTGGTTTTATTGCTTAGATAAGAAGATAAAAATATTGGTTTAACTTTGGTTTACTTTGGTGCAGAACAAATGTGCTGATAAAAGTGATATCGCGCAAAACACATGGCTACTACAAAACACATTCAAAATAAAAATAAATATGTAGCTTAACAAATATCTACACTATCTCATTTAAAAACAGTGACAGTTCGCGAAAATTAAAATATGTAGCTATATTTTGATAAACAAACATTGAACCTATACCCTCTTTGAGAGGATGATTTTTACCTCCAAATAGAGATCTAGTGATTTCGTGTCTTTGGAAAATAAAATATTAAAATAGGGATGGTAGTTCCTCAGTTCCCAAAAAGGATTGCATAAATATTTACAAAATACTTTTATCAATCAACAAATACAATCAGGTGTTTCTTTCTGCAAAATTAATTTTTCTTCATAGTGGCCTGTTCAGAAAATAACCGAACTTTTTGAATTACACGTTAAAGCAGATGTAGTGATATGGTTGAAGATGTTCCTTGACCAGGAATGCCTGACTCCCAGGATCAGGAAGTCAAAGATCTGGTGTGCAAATCGCCAATCGACTGTCAAAGAAATTGCAGAAGGGGTCAGCGTCAGCATCTCAATTGGGTCAAAATCAAGTTCGGTTATTTCCTGAACAGATCTCGTATATAAGTTTATTATGAAAAAAAATATATTTTGCAAATATGTGTTATGTGCAACATTCGAAAATTTTTCTCACTAAAGTTCTCTACGGGGTGCAGAAAAAATGGTCTGGGCCGTCACTATTTAAAAATGAAAAGCACCTCATTAATCTGATAATGATATGCCACACTTTCTACTACTCAAGGTCGGCACCATACAATTATTCCTATATAGGTATCATAATTCGATGTAATTTTCTAACGATAATGACAGACAAACTGAAATGGGTTTTTTTATAATAACATTTAATATATAAAATTTCTACACAGGTAAAAAGAGTTTATACAACGATTTAAGATCATTAATTTCTATGCCTAGATGATTATCTGCGACAGACTATTACCAATACGCTTCAATCAATTAATGACAGTTGTGTAATTAATAATTACCAATGATTTCGACCATCGACAGACACAAGTAATCCAGATTAACAATCGTACATTTGTTTGATTAATGTTGAAATTGAAAACAATTAGAGTGTATTAATCTCTATTACAAGTACTTATCGTTGGTAAAAACAAACATATTTCAATTGTACATAAAGAGTGATAATGCAGCGGCGTCTGCGTGGGTATATCAGCTAGTAAAGGGTTTCAAATAATTGAAACGTTAATAGGTTGCCATATTCAGCATGAATAAAACGGCGGTGTACAGAAAAATAAACAGACCGGAACGAAACGAGCTGGGGTTTCCCGGGTAATATGTTAATTGTTAAAGAACCAGTTGTTATTTACATGTCTCGAACTTCAAAAATCTCCTTTAGCTACGTCTCTAACAAGGGGAATCACAAATTTCTTCATGTGTAGCAACAGTAGCTAGAAATGTACGACAAATTTTATTCTGATTGGGTACATTTTTTAAGAGTTATTGAAATACTTTTCGTAATTTAATATTTCGCTAAAAATGGCACTTTCGTTGGTTGAAACATCTTGTTTACAGGGTGAGTAACTTAAAGTCCCCACTAACGTTTGCCAAACTTCGTGAATTTCATTGAAACAAAAATGGCTATTACCAACATTGCAAGCAAGTCGCAGTGGGTAAATAAAAACAAATTGAAAACTGAACTTCATAAATTTGAACAGGTTTTAATTCGAAAAGGACTTCATGAACAAATTTATGATGTTATTTGACATACATAAGTTCTTCATGAATGACAATATAAAACGGTTATTAGAAATTAAAAGACCAGGTACCAGCTCAAAACATAAATGAGCTACCAACTACAAAGGCTTAATAGTAGAAACATTAGCTCATAGTAAAACCAGTGGGTTCACCTTGGCATACAAATATTTGCTTTGTATTCGTAGCTGTAGATGGCGTTGTTATAAAAAGAAACTTATAGTCCTTAGGAGTATTTCTGGATTCGTGTACTAGATTAACCCACAACCACAAACCTAGAAAAGAAATCTAGATTTGTGACCGCAACCGAATGTTTTTTGTTTTGCATCGAAAAAGTGGTGCGACAGTCACTTTTGTTTGTTTTTAAATATTTCCCTGCATTTCAATTGTTATTTACATATTGTTTTAATTTAACTGCTACTCAAATCAAAAACTATCAAAATTTAACCAATCTTTACTAATTTAGATTGAAATTTTGTTTTATCTTGTTAAACTGTTTAAAATAATTTCGCGTTGATAAAAAATACGTACTTCTATAAAATAATAAAATTTAATATTTAAGGTGCTTCTTTATCATATATTTACGGATCGACACAAATAAGTTTTCATCTGAGATAGCTCCGCCTACTAATCGCCGCCTTTGTGTCTTACTCTTTCTAGTAGAGTGCGTTCTTTCTCAGTCTCACGCAGCCTTCCTTAGTCAGCAATGCAGTTATTTGTGTGTATAATAAACGTATAAAATTTATATTTTTTACATCATATTTATTGCAGATTCAATCTTATATTTCAACATAGACAATATGGTATTGCCCCAAAATTTTAAAGAAATCTGTCGACTAAATTTTGGACATTTTTTCCATATTTGCTTCTAAAATCAACTGTGAGATCTTTGCAATTTTATCTGCAGTCGATATTTGTCGAGATAGAATTCTAAGTAGACCCTTGTGTACGTCATTTTTTTGGAATTAATCGTATTCGACACTCGAGGTAGAAAGACAAATATTGTACGGACTGTAGTGTTTTGACAATGATAGCAGAATAGGAATAGGACAGAAAACAAAACATTATTCGGAAAAATAAACCGATAGCTCTTTAGGTCATTTTTAGGGTAGCTTTAGCTATTACTCTAGGTACTAATTAGATGAAATCGGTTTGGTTAAACTAATTTGAAGATATGAGGGTCCGAGGTTGATTTTTATGTCGTCTTCAAACTGTTTTGATCAAACAAATTTTCGCCAAACTCGTTCGATCAAAGTAGTTTAAATTTTTCACCCCAGCAAAAGTTTTTAAGGAAACCATACCGGTAAAATTAAATGCCACACTCTGTACATCAACTTGACACTGGTTAACGCTAATCAAAGCCCCCCCTGTGACTGCACTGAAGGTAAAACACCTGGCGTTTAATTTCTTTGACATCTCCAACAATCCAATTTTCAGGAAACAGTTAATATTCCAAACGATTCATTTATCATACTAACCTAGTTCACGGAAAGCGTTATACTGTCCTGGTACACTGCACTGTAAAGAGCAACAAATGTATTAAAAAAAAATTGAAACGCACGAGCTACAAACTGCAGCGAGCGCACCGAACGAAGACTGCTCGCCTCGGCCAGGGAAGACCAAGAATCAAATCATTATATCATTCACCTGGGTTTGGAAAGGGAAATTATCGCTGCGGTTTTCCAGTTAATCGCTTCTTTGTTTAAATGAAGTTGCTTTTATCTACTGGGTGTCCAACTTAAAAAATTTATTTGAAGGACAACCCAACTTAGGTATATAATTTTCACTGACGAAGCAACTTTTTGCTTAAACGGAACGTTTTCAGTTGATTCCAGCCCGGAATTAATTTTTCCTAAACCTTAATGAACACGATATGCCTGCTGGTGATGTCTGGTTCCAATAAGATGGTGCCCCTCCACATTTTCGTCTCGATGTAAGAAATTACCTTTTCACAAATTCCAAATCGAAGTGGGCCGCTTGAACGGCCGCCACGCTCCCCTGACTTAACCCTACTAGATTTTTTTCGTGGGGTTATTTAAAAAGCAAAGTGTATGTATTTACAATCGAGGTTTGCTACGATTTTTTGGGGGTAAATTTGGAAAATTCGTACTGGCGACTTTTTAAACAAAATTTAACACACGACTAAAAATCAACCTTACACTTTTACAGGCGTAGTTCGTTGAGGGATTAAAAATTGAGGGAATGGTACTTCAAGAAAAACTTATGCTGCTTATACTTGGCCTATGATCTTTAATTGTATGGTAATAAAGCTAAATGATTTATTTTTTAATTGACTTTCATTCTACAAATTCTACTATACGAGTATTTGAAGCTTAGGTTGCGTTACGTGATACACATTTCTGCAAAATGTTCCGTACAAAAAAGATAATGGAACTGTAAGAAAAGATCGACTAAAAAAATAAAATGAATCGCTGTGAGAAAAGAACCCCTAATAAAGGAATAAAGCAATCTTCAGTTAAAAAAATTGGTTTTCCTACTCCATCGCCCTGTACTTCTGGATATATTTGGCGAAATTACTACAGAAACAGATGAAATTTGATTCACTTAAAAACAATTCTAGTTATAAACTTGAATTAATTTATAATTTTAAACAAAAGAAGTTGACTACATCAGAAACTTTTCACAACCAGGTCAATACAGGGCGGTTAAAATATACTTTACGGTTTTATTTAACTTTTCTCTATAATTTCAATTTGTTATAGCTGTTTTACATTGACAATTTATTCATTAATAAATTGACAAAGTTCTTCATGAATTAATTCACGAATTTATTGGTAAACAGTGTGGTTTTACACTGCTACAGACTTTGTGAAATTTTTTGACCCATGAATCAGTTCTACCAACAAATCAAAGAAGCAAATAAATTTAAAAAAGGTCACCCTTCCACTCATAATGGTAGTGATACAACAGCGGTACCGTTTTGACAAATATTATATAAACATTAGCTTTTGTTAGTAACAAATCAGTAAAAACAATGCAAAACTAGTACGATGCCACACAATTATTTATATATACCAATAACATAACCTCATTATTGATCTGAGGCTGGAAATTTGTTGAGTTGGTACTTCTGAACTTCACGAAGAAATTGACGAAAATTAGAATTCGTCAAGAACTTGATGAATAAATTCATGAAGTTATTTGACAGCAGATTTAGTGCATTACACTTATCCAATTTCTTGATGAAGCGACTTCATGAATTAATTCATCAATTAATTGTAAATGTAAAATAGCTTTTAGGTATCAGTTCTAAGTTCAATAACTATACAATGTGTTTTAGTAATATGAGATCGAGATAGAGATAAATGCTTATAGTAAAAATTGGAAAGAAAAAGCTTCTGGTGCCACATCTGTAGGTAATTTTATTTATTTTTACTGCATTTCTGAACATCTCTCTACGCTTTTAAGGTAGGATTTTCTAAAAATTTTGATATACGATCCTTGAAGGTAAGTACATACATAATAGGTACCTATGCGCAGTATAATAGAATTTTTAACATTTTGCATCTCATAATGAAATGACACTTTACTGATGAACAAAATCAGATTTTTTAAAATTTTCAAGTTAACAAGTTGAATTCAATCCCAGGTGGTATATTTCCAGACCAACATTATTTTACTTTTTTGCAAGTCATTTTACCTAGTTAGCTACCAATATTAAAAGAAGAAGTAATACTAGAATAAAACATCTCTAGCTATGTAAACAATAAAAAACAAACAAATTCAAATAGTCAAAACCAATTTTTTGAAGAGCGCGATATAATAGCGATGTGTAATTTGCATTTGTCGGATTTTTTCAATGTTAGATTTTTAGTTAAGCAAAAATCTAATCCTTTCGGCGCAAGGGCGTTCATTTTTTTAAAATTTTTCACCGATGGCAGACTTCCCAATAGAAAAGAGAAATAGATAACGCGAAAATTTAAAAATAACCAATTTCCAGATCCAATTGCATTTCAATGTTTAGATTTCAGTAATGACTGAAGCGAAACAAAATCGGTATATCGCGGTTCGCCCTGTGCAACTAAACAAAATTCCATACAAAATTGCAATTATCCAACTAGTAGGCAAGAAACAGACTTACGAAAGTACTGACCTAATTCAGGCTGTTCAGTCGCTCAACAATGCGTGGCCGATTCCAATCTACCAACTGGCACTGATTAAAATAACAAAATAACCGAAATCTACCAATTCTACTGGCTGCTATGATCGAGCGAGCGCTCGGTATAACCAAACACTGAGCTGGACTGTCAAGACGACGGATTTTTAACAATTAGAAAATATCGTTCACCTGGAAAGGGAAATTTGTGATAGGGACCGCAAATTTTTCTTCATTACAGCAAAGCCCGATATTTCGGCCAATAATAGACGTAATTAGACCGCGGTGGGCGGGGCCGTGATCGGTTATTTTATGCGGAAAGTAACTGCAATGTAACGGCGATCTCGATCTCTTTCAAGATGTATGGCTAGAAGCGGATGTGCAAGAGCATTATGAAAAGTTACCGGGTTCTGCTTTTCTATACTACCTGTATCTCCAAAAATTTTTAAGATATAAAGTACCCAAAAAAAAATTGGAAGGGTATTGTCCAAAATCTTTTAAAACAATTTAGTACATTTTTTTCCCCCAGCGTTCCAGTAAAACAGGTATCATATCTGCTAATATAGAAGAAAATCAGACAGACGTTTATAAGTAGATCAAAGTACCCTAATTTTTAAATAAAGAATCCAATCCTGAATCCTGTAATCTCAGATTTTAAATTGAAAACGCCCTGTAGATACTTTGAACAGAGATAATTCTAAATAACGTCTTTTTATTTTTATTTACATTTCAAGGCAATCTTATTTGCTGGTTATCTGTAAAATACCTTGAAAAACTAGAACTGATATCCAAGAAATAAGACAACAATTGTGGTCAGGCTGTTTTCACTTTTGTAAAATGGCCACCACAAAATAACAAAATATCAGAAATTTTAGTAGATAAGTACCTTCATCCGCAATATTACACTAAAAAACCTTTTATTAGAATAGGTACTATCTAGCATTTTAACATTTCAGATCATTAAAGCGAATTTCTTTAGAAAAAAACGATCAAAGAATACGAATTTCACAAATTACTCGGAAGTGAAGAGTCGTTAATAAATAGGTAAACATCTGGGTTCTGGGTCAAATCCTATAGATATTTAAAATAGTATTTTTACTTTATAAATTATAATAAGCCAGGAACCTAGGTTACGGTTTTTGGAATTCCGATAGGAGGGTTACCTTAAAATTATAACAAATAGGTATATTCTCGTCCATTGTAACAAACAAGTTTATATTTGACCACTACCCACTAAAAGAACTTTGAAAATGATGTTAATATCCCATTTTAAAATCAACCGATAAAAAATGGAAGAATTAATTTTAGTCATTTTTTGTTAGATATCAGAAATCATGTTTTAAATATTTTTACTGTAGAAATATCTGCAATTACGAAAAGTAAATCTCCCAATCTAGTAACAGGTTCCCAGGAGACAGTGTTTTTTTTTCTAATTCTTACTACTGATTATGCAACGGCCAACCACGACGTGTCTGAAGTCATGACTTGTCGATTCCGATAACAAAAAGCTTTATCTCCGCTTGCTACGGTACGGAACGAAGGGAACGCTATCGCGGCCTCTGAATTTCTGCGATCAGAGAAGAGGACTTGCTAAAAAACCCTTGCACACGGCCCGACACCACGTTGGTGCCGTGTGCAAGCCATCGCGTGCAAAACCGTGCGCAAAATTGGTGCCGTGTGCAAAAGTATACTATAACGTAACCGTGCGTTATTCAACAGTGCGAAAACATTCGCTAGCCGGACTTATCAGGCCGGCTTGGGGTTTTAATTGAACGTTATTAAGTTATTAGAAATGTGCTGTCGCAGCGACCGATAATTTTTTATTTGGATACAAATTGATTGGTTTTTATTATTTGGTGACTGTTGCCGGGAGGAGTAAGAGTAACCTTTGGACGAGCTGGATTAGATATTAGATAGTCGAGGACTGTGTCGAAGTATATGGCAATATATTTTGAAATTCCATACCTACAAACCTTTGTTATTAATGAAACATTATTTATCTATTTTAGCAGTATTAAAGGCTTATAATAGTTCAGAACTATCAGAAACATTTCATCTATTGAGTCTTGTCTTTATATTATTACTGGAAATATTGCAGCAACAACTCAAATGATTGAATATTCTTCAAAAAACAATGTTAATGGTGTTTTTAAAAATATACATTAGGTATATGCATTGCATCTGGTTTATTGAGAATAATGGCAATAATTTTATTTCTTAAAAGTGAATGGCCCCTTGGTTGGCACTAAAAAGGAATGAAGATAGAGAAAAATGTACACTAACAAGGAAACGTTTCCGATGAAGTATATTTCCAAAAATTTTAAAATGATTTAAGAAAACTAAGAACCAGAGTTCATTTGAAGGATAAAAATTTGTGATGTTTGAAAGAAAACGGATCATAGGGATTAATTGTTGATACGGCTGCCATAAAAGGCTTTTCCGAGCAAATGCATTAATAACTAATTGTAAGAGAGGAATTTGGACATTAGTAACAGATCTAGATAATGTTATAACAATAATATGTCTTTTTAGGGTTCAAAAATATAATAAATTATAACGGTTAAGCCTTTTATAGGCTTTATTATATTATTTATATTAAATCGACATACGTACATAAAATTATAGATTGATACCTATATCAAACGAGCAACTGAAATTTTACAAAATTAACTATTAGCAGCTTTCAGATGATATGAAAAAGGATAACAAACAAATTTTCATAAATTAGAATTTTTGTATGTGTAGAGTAATATTTGATTTTAATAAATGTTAAAGAAATGTTAACACGAAGACAACGTTTTACAATATCTTCATGTTTTGACAAACTGCAAAATGGAGAAATGACACTTCTTAAGAATAAATTATAGACCACTGCATATGCTGATACTCAGTATTGTATGTATGTGAAAAATCTACATTTCTACTTAACCAATTAATTGTTTCACTCCTTTTCTAATCAAACAAAACTACTACTTACTGATGAAACTGTTGTAGGTAATTTGGGACGGTCAATTCTTTGTGAAAAGTTAACTTACCTTAAATTAGGTTTTCTTCGTCTTCAATCTTGATACTAGCACCATGTAATTGTTATAATACATCTACTTATTTTAGAAAGTAATAGTTTTCTCAAATATAGAGCATATTCCTCTAACTTTTTATGAAAAGTTATAGGTTAACGTGATTCTTGTTAACAGTTAATATAGCTTCATTGTATATTGGGAAGACAGGTAAAATTAAAGGGGTTAAAAACTGCAATTCTTTTAAACGGAAATTATAACCATTTACACATAATCGTTAAATCAAAATCTTGACAATTGCAGTAAGTTGAATATTGCACAAATTGAAACGATGTTTTCGAAGACATTCGGTTCTACATCGGCGATCCGAAGACCTGGTTTATTTTTAACTCTTTACGTGGTCACATAACATGACGGCAAATGTCAAAATACAGGTCGACCAACCGATATTCTGAGCCCCTTTACATAGGCAACCAAAATATTGCTGCTGCATATTCTGTCTGTTCAAAATTGCATGTATATAAAAGAAAAAATTCAAAATGGAATAAAAATGAATATATTTTATTAACTAAAATGAATAAACGGGGAATTTTACTCAATCATAATTTATTGAACCTTTGTTGTACTACACATATAAAAACAAGTTTAATTAAAATTTAAAGAAATACAAGAAAACAAAATAAAAGCACGTTTATATGCACAATTATCGTACTCCATGTCCCTGTACTAATCTAATACTAACATCCACTGGCGAATTACGTTCCTGAGAAACATCCATTTCAATTTCATCTTCCTCTTCCTCGTCATGAGTTTCAGATTCATCGTCATCATCATTATCGTCCTCATCATCCTCCTCCTCGTCTTCTTCCATATTCTACAAGTACATAAAATTTTTATGAAAGATATTACTAAATGTTTGTTGTTCAGTTTTACCTCTGAAGCAGTTTTTCCAATGGGCGTCAAATCAGAATTTCTTTGGGTAATCATTTGGAGCTAAAATACTTTATTAACAGATAATTATGAATGCAAGTAAAATCCTACGAACCCAATTTTGGTGTTCTCTTTCCATTTGGGACACTTCATCTTCATCATCACAAGGTTGGTCTACATCAAACCAAGAGGAATGCATCAATCTTGGTTTTAAATTTGGAAAAAGTGGAATGCTCATATCTAGATTATTTTAAAACTTCTGTGTGGAACAATTACAAATACAAAAACACATCTGTCAAATTGTATTTGACATCTGACATATTGTTTTGAATATTTGAACTAATCTTAAAGAACGTAAAAGTAGAAATTATTATTCCAGTTCTACACAGCCATTTAATAAAAACACACGAATTAAATTTTAATTGGTACCTAGAACTAGGTTGAAAACGTTATTAAATATTTTTGAAAATGAAATTAATATGAATTTAAATTTAGTTCAAATGACTTTTAGGCAATTTTCACAGTATATTTTACCATAAATTACAGATTACAGACAAGAGAAAGATGGGAAATGAAAACATAAATTAAAGATTTTTATTTGACATTTTATAGATTTTGATTTTGTACAGACGATTTACAAAGAATAATAATTAAATTTAATTAATTGCTGGTAAATTTTCAAACACAAATAATTGGAAAGTGTCTTGGTGCAATAAAACGTATTTTGTAGTTATACGTTTGCCACCGATTTTGATAAGCAAAGCTAACCTCGAAAAATATTGATTTCTGTGATTACATGAAAAAAGTAATATATAACAATGTCGAAAAGAGATTATGAGGCAGCATTTTTGCAAAAGGAAATCAAACGTGTACCAAACAATAAAAGGCAAAGCGACAAGAAACACACATTAGACAGTGATGAAGAGGATGAGGTTGATGAAGACAACGTCTTAGATGTTGATGATATAGAAGGCGAAGAAGAGGGCATTGCCAGGCAAGATGGGGAGCAAAAGATGACTGCCTTTAACATGAAGGAAGAAATGGAAGAAGGTCATTTCGACAGACAAGGCCATTTCATATGGAATAATGAGAAAGAGATAAGAGACAATTGGTTGGACAACATTGACTGGCAAAAAATTAAAACTTCGTCAGATTCCAAAGACAAATATAATATTGATGAGAAAGGCTTAGGCGATGAAAGTGACTCAGGTTCCGAAATGAATGATGATTTCGATGAGATATCAAATTATAAAAACATGTTAGAATATATGAAGCCTGGTGAAACTGTAAACAAAGCTATCAAGCGTTTAGGTGCTGCTGATATGAAGTTGTCAAGTGTGGAAAGATTGCGACGGAAGAAAGCCGGTACGTTAAATACAAATGAAGACGTTATAAAATTAACGGAATTGGCAAATCAAATTCTAACAGAAAAAGGAAATATGGATATATATCAAGAAACGTATGAGCAAATAAAAACCAAAGTTGAAAGCAAAGGAAAGAAAAAAGCAACGGGTGTGGCAGAGCCAGTATTGGATATGTATGCTGATGACTTTGACGTGAAAGAAAAAGAGAAAATTTCCACCGTTACAATGTGTGAAACTAAAGAGGAAGTGAAGAAAGAGATAATGTGGGAATTTAAGTGGAAAGTTGAGGATGAAGATATTCATGGACCATACAGCACTCAACAGATGGTCAAGTGGTCAAAAGAGAATTATTTCACAGTTGGTGCCATGGTTAGAAAGTGTGGGGAATCTTCAAATTTCTATTCGCTGGGTAGAATTGATTTTGAGTTATATGAATAATTTTGAAAATAAATGTATTTTTCGAAATGCTGTGTTGATAATTGTGTGCAATACATCAGAGATTTGTTTAAACAAGAATGTTGTAAAGCAAGCTGATAAATAATTAAATATATATTACTGAATATTTTTAAATTTTTTGCAAACTTGTATGTTCTGTTGCCTATATCATGGATTCATAGTAGGTCATTTTCTCAAGAAAAAAATTTTTTTTGGATCAACGTTTATAAACGGGTTTAGATTGCTTTTGGAACAAAGCTACTGCAATTTTCCAGAGAACTGGAATATTATTATTTGTCTATGGTTGCGATCTGTATAGAACAGAGAAGTGTGTTTGTTCTATGGCGTAAATGAAGTAATTATTACCTCTGTGGGATAATAAGGTCTATGGTACAAAATGTATACAACTATATACAAAACCGAAACTTTGCAGGTTATGTTGCAATGAAAATTGTTTTCCAAGTTTTAATATTTTACCAGAATACTATGAAGAGTACGTTACACTAAACACGAACTGTTAAATTCAAATTCACTTTATTTCAGACAGAATAATAAATAGTATCAAATATTTGTTTTAGGTCAGCGCACCCAATAAAGGATGAATCTGCCACACAATATCGATTTCAATTATATATTTTCTCACTGTGATCAGTCCAAATTCGAAATACCTCATTACTATGATAAGCAAAACTGGGAACTCGGTGAAACATACAGAATGCGTGTAAGTAATATATATGACCCCTCAAAGTTTTGGATAGTGGTGAAGGAGCAAGAACTGGACGTATTTCAAAGGTTTCTGGCAGACTTTTATAATAAATATAGCAGTCGTTATAAAATGTCTTTAAACTCCATTTCAGAAAACATGTACTGCACAGCTTTTACAGAAAATGCATTTTACAGAGGACTCATTGTTAGTATACCACATTCACTTACGCTAGATAAAAAAGTAATTGTGTTTTTGTTCGATTTTGGGTACACGTGTATGGTCAACTTGGAAGATATATATTATCTTTCAGAAAAATTTTATGAAGTGCCTCGTTTTGCTGTTAGGGCGTCATTAAGTGATTTACAACCACACAGTGAACATGTCTGGAACTATGAGGTTGTTAAACGGTTCGATGAACTGGTTTCGAAGAAAGTGTTGATATGTGTAGTGGAATGTACAGATCCTAGCCGTAGAATCGTTTTCATAAAAGTTGGAAGTGTAAAGGACGAGTTGTCTGATGTTGTGGATATCGGTATAACTTTAATTAGTGAGAAACTAGCCAGAAGCACATCTTCAAAGAAATCTACAACAAAAATAAAAAATAACAGCAGGTACATCCCAACTACGAACTATCCTCATCTCTTTCCGTCTTTCGAAGCCATTGAAGGGGGAATTGTACCCTCTTCTGTGTACATATCGGAAATGCTTAGACAGTGCGTGGCTAGGGATGTCCTATTCAAGCCTTATTTCGCATACAAAGGCACTTCTGAAAAATAGAGGGGTCGGTGTTGTATTTTAATTTGTTTTGTTTAATATTGCAGTTATTTTTGATATTATGTCTCAGGGTATTATTTATTTTAACACAAGGTCATGTGCATAATACCAGAGTATTTTAAAAATATCGTTACTTCCTATTATTTGCAGAAATAATATTTATTTTCTATAACTTCCCAAAATATATCTTTAAGTCATTCGGTTTTTTAATATCTGCCATTTAAGGATGGATTTTATTTTCATTGTGTACCTTTTTGACAAATGACAAAATCTTAGGTGTAACTAGAAAGTTGTTTTATTTAGTGTTATTTTATATAAAAAATTTGAAAATGTGAATTAAAAGACAATTTTTAAAGTTATTTTAAAAATAACACATACATTTTACCTGATTGTATTTTACATTATATTTTAGAAATAATAAAATTTCATTGTTTATAATAGTTTTTGGATTTCTTAATTTAGTTTTGCCTTTATTTCGTTTGCTCATTGAAATAAATTAATTCCAAAATTTTTCCTAAATATTTTATTAAAATCAGTATTCTTCCATATCAAAAATATGGAATGCATAAGACATCAAGAAAAATATGGAATACAAAAGATATCTAAACTAACTAACATAGACAAGATTTTTAACTGATTATATTGTGGGAAACAACTACTTTATGGACTAGATGCTTCAACTAGCATTGAATTATACCCACAATATCTAGTAAACAGCTAGCAAATAATTATCTAAATTAAAAATGTCTAAATATTATTATAAAAATAAACCTAAACATATCGAAATTTTTAAATAATCATTAATAAAAACATCTGGTTTTCTTGTTGTTTTTTCAACATCGCCAGGACCAACACGTTGGACGTTAGAACTAATTTTCAAAAATCGTAATATGATCTACCCTATATTATATGTTTTGTGATCTACCCAGTGTAAAGTCAGCTTTAAACAAAAATGTCAAACGTTTGTTTAAAAGTCATGTACTCTAACCTAAATTTGTACTGATTAAATTAAATAAATATGAGTTTAAAATGGCTCACAGTAAATTCCAGGTAAGTTTTTTTACTAATATTTCAAAGGTCCTTCGAACGGTTTTCGTTTCAGGTTAATAAATGGTACAGGATTAATAAATTCCATGACAACCATAAAGTTTAAACTTCTATTGACTCACATAGTAAATACCAAAAACGAGGAGCTATTCACCGATGAAGAATTGAAAAAGTTAAAAGATTCTCTAAAATTAACAGAAGACAATTTGCAACTGTTGATTCAAAGTATCGCATATATTTTCAAGCAGGCCAGTAAGGTTATAATCAAACCAACGGTTCTGCAAAAACAGTTGATAGAAGATTTGGGGTTAGATGCTGAAAAAGCCGAAGAGTTTGTTAAGCTATGGTCTAGTGAAACTAAGAAGGACGTCGGCGATTTTGAAAATAGTTTCAAACTACAGGATGTTAACTGGGAGCTAAATTTGGAAACTGCGAATCAAATTTGTAATAAGCAGGTGATACCGAAGGCTAGGGTTCAGTTCAAACTAGCAAAGTCGGCTGATAGCAGCAAAAAAGACACAGTTACAGTCGAGTTCGATGAAGAGGAATTGCTCCATCTGTATAGTACGCTTGAGACTATACAAATTAAATTAGATAATCTTCATAATACTGGCAATTAGATAATGATATAAAATTTACTTTTAAGGTCCATACATTTTATTGAATTTTAAGTTATATGCCTGTAAAAATTATTCACAATAACTAGTTAATAAATTGTTTTTATTTTTAATGCAATGTTCCATAATAAACCTAAAACAGAAAATTTCATGTACATTACAGAAATGACAAAATATAAAATCAGAGGTTTATGAAAATTAACTCGTCTAAAATGTAAACTTTTATTTTGTTCAAATCCACAAGAGTAACTGTAAGAATTAAAAGTTCTTCTGCACTCAGAACTGCAGAAACTAAAAATGTAAGTCAAATATTCAAGGTCACAAATCTATTTCCCCTTTATACTATACTCTGATCTGAGATGTCAGTTCCTAGCAGGCAGCCGACCAGAGCACACGTGTTTTGTGAAAGTGTA